TATTTCAATTCACTGTAGAAAGCTTAGGACAGCTGGAGGAAGTAATTTAAAGACAGGAAAGAAACAAAGGACAGAGGAAGAGACAAAAACGACCCTCACACACAGGCTCCATTTCAACTTATTTTAGAATTAATTTCTGCCTTCTGCACCCTCCACGGATTTTTCTTTCAACCACCTCAGCAATTCAATAGCAGTAACGTGAGCACAGGTATTAGACAGAACCTTTTTTTATTTCCTTTGTTTTAGGCTTGCAAGTTGACGTGTGAATTGGAGAACAGTGAGGGCTGGAAATGAACACCTCACTTCACAAAAAGAATTCAGCTCTGGGAAGGGGAGCACTGCTGCACCTCCCACCTGGCTGAGGCAGCTCAGCCTTTGTTTCTCACTTTTTCCTTTACACAGAACCATCCTTTTCTGGGTTACTCACAATAGTTTTGAATGATCTGCGAGGAAAGAGCAAAACCTGTCCTGAAGCTGATAATTACTATGAAAATACTCCTGTGTTACTCACGAGGAAGTAAATGGAGAAAAAATATGAGAATAAGTTGTGTGGGTTTCTAAATTATTCTGTCTACTTCATTAAAGTGGACTAAGTCCTACTTTGTGAGCTTCTCTTTTAAGAAGGACTTCAGTAATTTTTATCAAGTCATCTTACAAGCTCAGCTCCTGGAACAAGAGAACTAAAAGGAATTAGGTCTGACTTTAAAAACCTTTCAGTAGTCCTGACAGGAAACCGTTTATTTGTGTGGGTTTGTTTTGTTTTTTTTTTTAATTATTTACACCACCAACATCTTTTTTTCCAAGATAATGGACTCATTATTGCACAAGTGTCTGGCTTTTAAATCTTCAAATTCTAACCTAAACCAGTTTGGGTTGGGCCAACACAGGGCTCATTTCAGCTGCAAACTGGGACTGTTTGGGGAGGCCAGAATGTGACCCCTGGTTGAGGGGAACCAATTCAGAATGAAAGTGAGATGCTGAGCCCTCAAAGCAGACAAACCCAAAACCCAGCCTGGCTCTCTCAGGGCAGCACTGCCATTAAGGGCCCTGTCTTTCTGATTCACTTTTCTCTTTAAAAGCACATTTCTGCTCTTTTTTTATTTTGCTGTGCCCTCCTCCACTCTGCTGCCGAGCAGCCCTGTAAGAATTCCTGACAAACTCACATATTCCAGCTGAAATATCCGGGCTGGAGCTCGGCACAACCATTGCTATTGTACCTCACATTTCCTGTTTGTGCTCGCCCAGGGCCTGGCCACCAGCACAAACCCCCTCAGCAGTTGCCCCCTCGGCTCCAGCAGCCACAAAAAAAATTTTAAAAATCCACATTTAAGCAACAAAAACACCAACAGTGCAAAGAGGCAGAGCTCACCCTGAGCTTTTGAGCCGTGAGGAATTCGGTGCCATTCATCCCTTCAGGGATTTCACCTCCCCAGGGACAGGGGATGGTACCGCGCCCTCAAGCACTGGTTTTAAGCACATTTTTTTTTTTGGGTCACATCTTTTGACAATTCGTTTTTCAGAACTGAAGTGAAACCAAAGCACGAGGCAGAGCATTGGGTGGGGATGGCCTCAGCCCATGATCCCAACCCAGCACTCCACCTACTGTCCCCTGCTCCACAGCCCTCAGGCACCGCCACCTCATTCATTCATTTTCGGCACTAAAGATCTTTCAGAGATGTGCAAACACCAAAAATTCCTCATGAGTTACCCTCAGCCATCCTCTGCTGGTAATGAGGTGATTCATGCTGTTCATATTTTCATCTACCACCAACAGAAAACATCTCAGGACTGAGGAAAAAGCCATGTGCTGCTAAAACCAGTATTTAGAGTCATTAATCATAATAGTTTTATTTCCTACAGAACCACATCATGATTACTATTTTTAAGGGTTGTTTTTAAAGAATTGTGAAAAACCTTTAATGGCCTTGAGGAGAATAAGCCAGCAGACTTGTTTTGAAAGTGTCAGAATGGAAAGGATTCTTGGAAGAGTGGCCTGATTCCCTGTTCCTGCACTGATCTGCTCTGTGCTCAGTGCCAAGTGCAGCACGAGAATTGTTTCCCAAAAAGCCATGTCAGATTTTACATCCAGTGCTGGCAACAACTGAGGAAGCAGCATTAAACTAGGAACTGACACATCAGACAATGTTCAGGCCCTTTCTAGCATCTAGAAAGCTCTCCAATGCCAGGAGCAGCAATTTAAAGCCTGCTATCAAACTGACATGCTCGACCTGTCCCTCTTGCACCAAGGATCGGTGACCAAAAAAAAAAATCCCAAATCAGATGTGAACCAAAATGATCCCGAGGCAGCAACACCCCTCCCACGCTGAGGCTGCTTGAAATTCTACTTTTAGCAAACTGTTTCCAAGTACTCTCAGCTAACCCTGGGATCTCTCCTGGCACCAGAATGCAGCTCCAAAAAGCAGCTGGTCAGAGATGCTCTGAAGGAACCAGACAAATGACAGCTTTCAACACTGGAAAAACAGCTAAGCAGGCCAGGGAAAGCAAACATCAGAGTCATTCATGTACTGCAGCCATTGCATAACCACTTGCACGGCCTGCCCAGTGCTTGGGAATGGCCATATGCAGTAAATGGATAATGCAGTGGGCTGAACTGAGATGCACCTGTGTGACAGCTGAAGGAGCCTGAGCAGGTGCCTACATGCCATCAATTCCTCCACGTGCCCTCAGTGGCACAGACAATGCTGCAAGTCCCAGCAGAGCTCAGCACCACATGGGTGGGCCCAAGAGCATTGTTCTCCCAGCATGTAATTGCATTCCCAACAATCTCCCTGTACATACAGCTTTAAAATGAGCAATTCATTAAAAGCAATTTGAAAGCACTTACTGGGTCTATTCTCTATTGCCAGCAAATCCGGGCAATAAAGCAGGGGAGGATTTGTTTTGTAACTTCATTTCTTTGAGTCAACAGAAGAATAAGTATTACCATTATGAAGAAATATAATTAAAGTATATGGAACATGGAAAGTAGATCAACGGTAATGCAGAAGTTAACACTGAGAGCCCCACTTAACGTGTCATATTTCTACTTTTAGAGGGAATTGCTGTACAAATAACAAAGCAAAATAGTTACAGCTCCTCCCTTTGAGAGCTGGAGCTTCTAATTGCATTGTTTCAGATGGGTTAAATCCAGAACACCACTCTGAAAGAGTTCACCCCTAAAAGCTGCAGCAGCAGCCTCGTGTCAGCACTCCTTGTTCCCTCTCACCGAGCAGGTATCAAGCACTGTTTTACTCCAGTGATAACAAATTCCATGTACACCTTGCTGGTCCAGCTGCAGCGATAAGAATATTAACAGTTCAAGCACTAAAAACGCAAGCAGGGTTCGGTAGGAGCAGGAGCCGCTGTTCTTACACTCCCTCTGCCATCTAGTGGCAACAACCGCGCTGTTTCCACCGAGCTGCAAATCATGAGGTGCCCTGACAGTGCCCAGAAGGTGTTAATTGACCTGAGCAGACCGTGCTAATCGCTAAATCTTGATCAGGAGAAAAAAAAAAAAGGGAAACAAATCCTTTCTTCTCGTTGTTCCTACACTCACTGCCCTCACAGAATTCCCTCAGTGAACCAGGAACATGCTTATCTTATATTTAAAGCAAACCAGCATTTCTCTTGTAGTATTACACTTTAGATGTTGATGGTATATTTTTATTATATTTTACTCTATAACTACCTTCTAATTACTCAGTGTAATCTATTCAGTCTGATTCCCCCTCCTAACAAAGTTATGTGAAGCCTTCCCTTTTATGTTCCAAATAAATACCTTCCCTAAGAATATTAAACTCAATTTCTTTTCCTGGGTGACACATCCCTGTAATCTCTGGAAGGCTGTTAGCCTCCCAAACACTCACCATAAATTACACTGATAAACCAACTGAGAAGTTGCATTTTCTATAAATTATTTCAGTGTCAGCTCAGGTCATGGCCTAAGTACCTCCATGAGGTTCACATATCCCACAGGATAATCAAAGTGATGTATTATGGAATTTAATTTTTTTACACTGAAGTAATTTAGAACTTTGATTTTTAAACATAGAGTAAAAGAAAGGTTCCATCTCGTTTAAGAAAATAAATGGTACTGTCTTAGGAAGATTTCAAAAAATCATCTTGGAGAGGCCTGGGGTCTGCCAGTGCTCAATGCACAACTTGGTTTTGTTTAGCAGGAATTCCTTCCACAGTCTTTAGGACAGAAACTGCACTCAGAGTAAATCTGAGGCTGCTCATCCCATGCTTTTCCATCTCCCAGGCACTGCCCTGCTGGGGGGAAAGGCAGGAGTTTCTTGTAGTGTTTTCTGTGTTATTGTTAATGATTAAAGCAGCTCTGAAAGTAAACATCTGTAATTGTTCCAAAGACAAGATGACATTTGTTGCATGAACTGGTTTTAATTATTTTGTGGCCATGAATCCTTTTCTTGAATCCAGGACAGTGGTTTCATAACCCAGGAACTAATCCAATGGCCAAAAGCAAAACACACCCAAACATTTCCCTGACTTTCATAGCTAAGTTGAGATAAACAACATCATGCAAATCTTCATATTTTATCTTCATAGAAAAATACTGTTCTTGCTATTATTTTTTTAAAGCAAAATTAATACAGACTGAACTTTAAACCAGCTGCCTGTTTTGGTGGCTTCAGTTAGAAAAATGATCATTTTAAGCTACTAAAAAAACGCTCTGAAAAATTTTAAATGGAAACACTTGAGCTGCACACAGTAGAACAGGCTTCATTGACATGAGGAGATTAGAGGAGAGACCTTGCAGATTTGGCTCATTGTTTCCAAGTGAAGATTAACCAACAGCAGGCCAATATCCACAGCTCAACAAACACAGAGCTTGCAAACTACAGAACAAGGTGTAGAACGTGAACAGCATTCACCAGAGCACCAACTTTAGATGTATTTAATGTTCAGAATGTTCAGAAAATTATTAAAGCAACAATTAAAGTACTCCATTCAGGAATGACATGGTGTGGAAATATCCTTACCAAGTAGAGCAGAAAGGTGTGGAGACCTGTTCCAAGCCCAACAGAGGAGAGAATGCCCAATCCTACCCAGTAGGCACACCAGAAGAACTTCTTCTCCATGTACCGCACATACTGAGCAAGGAAAGTCACAAACAAGAAAAAAAATAATATTAATTTTGGTATCTCCAAGGGAGAAAAATTAAGCTACAAGCTAAAACAGATATTTATCTGCATTATAGCAATTGAAATAGACTCCTAAATATTTCTATTTGCAATTTATTACAGTAACAGCACAGACATGTAGAGGAAAAGAAAAATTCCCCACATCTTAGAATCAGCAAGTTTCCAAGGAGATAGATGGAAATTCAGGTTCAATAGTAGGAGGTTGAAATCCAGAATAGGCTCATGAGGAGCAGTTCCCAGACAGTGTCAAGTAAAGCCCAGACAGCTCAGGGAATTGTCTGAACAGTTTAAATGCAGGAATAAAATCAGCTGCACTCCCAGTGAGTCTGTTGGACGTTGTATCTTGGAGCACTGAGTAGCAGGTTTATTACTTTGAAGAAAACATTAAAATGTTGGTTGTGTGCTCATTGCCAGGAATGAGGGGATGTGGGAAAGTCACAGCAGGTTCTGGACACTACTTTACACCATCCATGGACCAAGAGCACCAAGGTGAAGTTTACACCAGATAAACTTCTTATCTAGGCTCCAACCTGCCAGGGCAAAGGACACCCTGAAAATGCCAAGTGACACCTCCTTAACAGGGAGCTGCTGTCACCTGAGGGTGACACTGCCCTCAGCAGTCCCAGAGGATCAGGTTTCTTCCCAGCAGGCTCAAGGGAACCTGGGAAGTCAGGACTTGGGTTCCAGAACTGCAGATCCCTCAGGCAGGCAGTGCCACACCACAGCAGGAAAGATAGAAGCAAGTTCTCTGGAATTGGGAACCTGCTCATTTCAGAGCTGTGACATCAGTTGGAATTGGTTTTTAAAAGGGTTTTATGTCCTCCAGGAAAATCTGAAACTCCAAGAGAAATGGGGAAGGGAAGGTGCAGACAGCACCATCACTGAGCTTAAGCCATGTGTTACACTTGCAGTGCTGCAAAAGCACCAGGCTTTGTGTTCACCAAAGCTCCACAAAGCCTTTAAAAGACCATTTGTAAACAACGAGAAGCATCACAGAACCAGAAATAGAATCAGAACCATGAAATCATTTTATATCTCTATATGTGCCTGTCCTAGCTGGGCAGGACACCCTTCCACAGAAACACAAGAATCATTTCTTGGGAACCACGAAGCTCTGCCACGACTCAGGAGCTCCCACCACTATTAAAATCTTGCTGAGAGCAGCTGGGAAGGAGTGCTGCAGCACCCGAGGTGTGCTTCACTCAGGAACTGAAGAGACACCTCCAGATCCACCAGAACAGATCCAACAGCACAGCTCATCCCTCCCCACCTCTGAAACACAACTCGTGCACACCCAACAGAGACTTGAGAAACAAAACCTCAGCGAGCAGTTTGAAGGATACATTATCAATTGATGGAGGTCCCAGCACAATTCAGGGAATTGCCAGCCCAGGGAAGGGAGGGGAGGCAGGGAAGCACAGTGGGTACCTGTTGATGTGTCCCCTCGATGTAGTACATGGCTGTGAGCACTGCCAGTGCCAGCAACACAAACACCAGGGCCCCTCGCCGCCGCCACAATCTTAAAGACAAATGGCAAATTAGGGATTTTCATCAGGAAATGTGCATTTCAAAGTCACTCAGCTACCTCTGGGGACTGGGGCTGCCTGCATGTGCTCAGCAGGGACAATGGCAGCAGTGTAAACCTCCCAAGGAAAGATCTGGGGAGCCTTTACTCTTTAGGGAAAAATCTCTGCGTCGCTGTCAAGCGAGATCAAAGTTCAGCCACGCATATTTTATTTTTTCTTTAATAAAGAAAAACAAAGTAACTGTCTGAAAACAAACACAAGCTGAAAACAATTCAGCTTCTGGAGCCAAGAGTCAGACCCAGGCCCTGAGCAGCAGCTGTGGCCAAGCACAGAGCAAAGCAGGCCCTGCACTGGCCCTGGGCAAGGACGAGCTGGGTGGAATTCAGAAATGCTGATTTCCAACTGTGCTGCTGGGCAGAACCACAGTGACAGGCCCAGGAACAAATCTTTACATTATTTTGTTTCTCCTCATCTATTAAAATTAGGCTCCAAATTTAATAAATATATTTTAGGTAACTCTGAAGCATTAGGTCAGTAAAGGGAGAAAAGTGTTTTCCAAAGCAATTTGCTACCAAATAATTTTTGAGCAAGTTTGGTTTTACTGGGCTTTTTTCCTGCTTGATGTGTATGTGGCCACACACAGATTAGGAAATACATTTAATATTTTCCAGAAAACACTATTATATTGTCACCTAATTACATATAAAAAACCAAGTCCTATGATAACTTTAAACTCCCAGAGTATAATAGCAAATTATGAACATAACTTATCTATTTAGACAGAAAAATAGAAATGTGAGGCATCTAATACAGGAAAACAATCACAAATATTTCATATTAAGCAAACTGAAAAGAGCACTCAAAATATTTTAAAATTAAAGTTAGTGCTTCTTACATTAGTATAACAATTGAATTTTTAAATGGTTGTCACTCAAAACACAATTTATGCAATGGAGATCATTAAGAGTCAATCTGAGGTCTCAACTTAATAGCTTGTAATAGTCAGGGTTATTTTCTGTAAAGATTCTGTCAGGGGAGTGCCAGACAACTGAATGTGCTGCTCAGCAGAGGAGGCAAGTGCTATCTGTAACAGAATTGGATGTCTAGGAAGCCAAATAAGATTTGAGGTCTTAAAATAAATCCTCAAATGTTATTTCTGCTTAGTTTAAACAAACGGATATTGTCAGAAATTACAGATGTCAGTAAAACAGTTCTCAGAGACAATTCCTGATGGTAGTTAAAAGAATACACATAATAAAATAAATAGGCTTGGGGGGTTGGAATTTTTGGGGGATGTAGAAGGGAATTAAGACTACACTACATAAACCTGGCATTTTTCAAACAAATAATTTCAAAAGAAAATGGAAACCAGAAGTTTCTGTCAGTAAATCTGAAGTGCCAGCACCTCCAGCCTAGCCCAGAGGGGGAGTGAGCAAAGCCCAGGCTCAGCTCAGCTCTGCAGAGGAGCAGCCCAACAGCTGGAGTCACCCAAGGTGACATTAGATCCTGACTGGGAAAAGCTCTGTAAGCTCAGTCCCAAGCACAACAGAGCCCAGTTACCAACACAAGCACTGCATGGCTGCTGCTCTTGGCATTTTCATTGCAAACTCTGCTCATGTTTTGGCAGCCTAAACCCCCGGGCCTCGTGCCTTAAGAACTGGCTCTGCATTTCAGCACTAGGAGGGAATGGCAGAACTGCTCCTCACAAATTCTCTCACTGGAATAAAAGCTGGTTTTATCCAGTGTGAAAATAACACTCAGGGAAAGTGCTTTAATAAATCATTTCCTGCTGTAAAAAGGCCCACAGAGAAGCAAATGAGCTTCATTTACAGCATCATAAACATCACTGCAAGCTCCACAGAACCCTGATCTCTGCCCTGGCTGAGCTCTTTGAAGATTACTCAGTGATACCAACACCTGCATTAGGTCAGTGCTTAACACTGCAGCCACAACACAATATCCCTTTGCCTTAAGGATCCCTAAACACTGTCCCACTCTTTTAAATTGGAATATTCAACTCTTCAGAAAGGCAGTTTGCCATTTTCTCCCCCAAGCACCTTACTGCATTTATGTAATTTAGGCAGAAGGTCTGAAAGCATGGCTACAAGTGTGGGATGTTCCAGCAGCCACCTTTAAGGGACAAAAATACACATGTTCTCTGGAAAAAAAAAAAAAACAGTTTTCAAGTTGTGAATCATCAGGGAAAGTGAGATGTCAGAATGACCTACTGAATCAGAGCATGGGTTTGCCCAGAACGCTTAGTAGAAGTTAAAGAAATGATCTTTACTTTATGGTCCATTCCTTCAAGTTTATTAGAGTTTCCAGGCAAAAATACTGCAAGGTAACAAGCGGTTTTTTCCACAGTACAATATTCAACCTCTCCTCTCGCTCCCTTCGCTTCCGCTCACTCAGCATCGAGGAATCTGCAAAACAAAAGCAAAAAAATTAAAAGAGTAAAAGCACAGATTGGCAGGATGGGTTTTTTTTTTTTGTTGGTTGGTTTGCTGTTTGTTTGTTTTTTTGGGAGGGGTTTTTTTTCTTCATTTGTTAGGAAGTTAATGTGAGCTCTTGGTCATCTTTTCTCCTGATCCCAGAGCATTTGCTGCCAGTGCCTCAGGAACGAGGTGACATCCAGGGAATGCTGTGGTTTGCTCCCCCCTGGCACCCAGGGAAGCAGAGTGCCCCAGGCCTGGCACCTCCAGCAGGTTTTCTGCAGGGCACTGCCCCAGGAGCTGAAAGCAGCCAGCACCTCCAGTCAAACGTGACCTGAGCACCTGCTGCAGGGACATTTCCCTCGGAAATTCGGAGCTGGTTCTTTTCCAGCAGAGCTATTCCTGCTTGCAGAGGATGGAATTACACGGTGTAACAGGAGAGGAGCCCCTGCCCTCTCAGCCAGGAGCCTCCAGCTTCTCCCAAACCCCTCCCGTGCAAAGGAGCTGCTTTTGGGGCACAGCCCTGCCTGGCACTGAGCTCACAAAAAGGCTTTTCTAACCAAGGTGTTACTTTGTGCTCACAACAAGATGAATAAAACCTCAAACCCGAGCTGGTTTTTCAGAGAATGGCTTGTTCAAAGGTTGTCAAGCTAATGAGCAGTAATAATTTTTAAAGTTTTAAAGAAAAGGAATTCTGGAGTAAGATTTTAAAAATAATGCCAGTAAACAATGAAAAAATACACTTGTTTCCAAAGAGACACCAAACTTGTTTAAAAATCACTTACTACACAGTCACAACACATGTATTCTATTTTGCATTGTAATAATATTAATACATTTTAGATTTTTAAAAAGCTGTTGTATTTAAAATATTAATCTAATCTGATCTCCAGCATATTGTAACCCAAGATGTATTATTTCAGTCTTATTCCAGTAATTGAAACATTTTGCCTTATCAGATGCTGATATTTACATAAAAATTGCAGATCTCATTAGTCACACAGCCCACTTAATTTTGTATTCCTTAGCTAGAAAATCACTTGCTTAAGATGAACTAACAGAAATCCTGGCAAATACTGAAGATTCACATTCCCTCAGAGTTACAGAATGATTTAAGTCTTTAAGTAAAAGGCTTTAATTTGTTCCATACATACAAACATGCAGTTAATCTTTTTCATTTAATATGTGTAATAAAAATGCTTCAACCTTGTTTTTATGACCTTGTTTTTAGTAAAAGGTCGTAAAAGACAATGGTGTAAGACTGCACACAACTTGAGAAATCACTTGATTACAAAACTTAATTAAATATGGAACTGGCACATTCAAAGCTGACAGGAAACAAATAAAGATGATTATAATTTCCATGCTTTACTACACAGCACAGATTATCCAGTGACACAAAAAATCTTCATTAACTGTTTTCAGGTTATTTTTCATGAGTTCTAAACATTAACCCCAGGCTACTTCAGACATACCAGCAGGAAAAACACAGGAGAGGCAGGAGGTGAAGTAGTTAAAACTGTTTTGTTGGTAATTTATCACTGAAACCAATAAATTATAGTGACATTGAATTTCAACAGAACAGCTAGAAACTGGGAGACTAATAACTGGATCTGTCCCAGTGTAAAACAGATTTTTATTCCCAAGAACTGACTTTTCAGTGCCAAAGGGTGGGGCTGTACAGCCTGACTTCCACAGCCACACATTTGCCAACAGAATTTGATTTTTAGGGTTTTTTTTGCTGTTGTTGTAGCCCCTGTTGGTATCCATGTCAGCTTTGTGGGGCTTAATGTATGTGAACCACAGATCAAGAACTTTGGGAGGGGAAAAGAGTGTGAATGGAAATACATGGATCTCTTCCATGGCTTTGAAATCCTAAATCCTTCATGTTTAGAGCTGACTGAGGTGTCCAAGATGGATTCAGGCAGCAAGGCCCTTTGCATTATGTGGGCATAAAGCCACAGAATCCCAGAATGGTTTGGGTGGGAAGGGGCTTTGAAGCCCAGCTCATTCCAGCCCTGGCATGGGCAGAGGTGCCACTCACCAGGTCAGGTGACTCCAAAATCAATTCCTTTTCAATCCTGTGCTGTTTTACACCCCAAACACAAAGCTGAGAACACAAAGTGATTTTCCACCTACCTGTGAAGTTCCCATTGTGCTGCTCTTTGCTCATTCTTATGCGCCTCTGGTCACAGTCTGTGCCATTCTCTGCCATTTCATAGATCACTCACGTGTGGGGATCTAAGAGCAGGAGAAACCCAAAAAGGACAAGATGTGTTTCTGGTTAGGACACCACAAACACCCAGCAGCTCTCCAAATGTAACTCACACCCATCCTGCATTACACCACTAAACAGGAGAAAGTGATTCAATCCCCGCAGTGACAAAGATTAAAACATTTCCACCTACATAATTCTAAATTTTACACTCAAATGACAAAACTCCCTCACTTGGAACAGCTGAACAAAAGCTCATTAAACAAACTCCTTCCACGACCCAACCCACTGTTTGGGCTCCAGGAGCAGCAGAGCTTCGTACAAACCTCACTTCCATCCTGAGATTGCTGCTTCAGGTGTGCTCCTCCTCCTGGCACTAAAGCTTTGCAGGTTGTTACGGTGTCAAAAACCTCCCTGGCTGACAGATTAGCCCTGAGTGTGCTAACCTAGACCCAGACAGAGCTGCATCTCCTGCTCTGCACAGCCTGCTGCCTCTGAAGCACAAGAGGCAAAGTCTTCACAGGACAAGAGCTTGCTGATGGAAGCTCTGCTGACACTGTCCATGCTCTCTGCTGGTTCAGGCTCTCTCTAGAAAGATCAGCCCTAAAACAAAACTCCAAAAGAACAGATGTGGTTTTCCTTATTCAGGAGAGTAAATAATGCAAGAAATGGGAGCCAGCACAAACCAGAGTGTTGCAAGAACTGCCTTTTTTTTTTTCTTTAGAAAAAACCAAACCTGAACAGCTGACAATTCTTATGCAATAAAACACAAAGAGAAAAAACAGTCAGACTCCTTGTTTTAAAAACCCTCTCTTGAATCTTAAAACAGTTTCTAGAGTTTTATTTGGAAAAGAGAGTCCTACAAAGCTAAAGAATTTTATTTACATTGTATTTCTCCCTGTAAGCACACTTGATTTACAGGTTTTGATATGTTGCTTTTGTTGGAAAGAAAAGTGATGCAATATTAAAATGACAGGTTATATAAAACTGTCTAGTGAAAGAAATTAAAGTTCTACAGGAAAAATACTTCCCCATTGATTTATGTTAGCCTTAAGAGCCAAGCAGCAACTCAGGTTTGGTAAACAGGAGTGAGATCACCCCTTGGATTCAGACTGCAAGAATTTTGTCAAATTTTTAAATTAAACGTTCAAAGATTTCAGATGCTGTATTTGACATTTCCAGGGTCTCACAAGACAGTTTTAGACAGGTGTTTTTCTAAACAGGTACAAGCATTGTGCATTACTAGCAATACAGATAAAATTGCTAGCTAGAATCTAATTACTAAAGGTTTTAGTTAAAATCCAGTAGTTAAAAGCATTGAGGTCTCAGGAAGGAGCCCTTTCTCCAACACCTCCCCCGACACAAAATGTGCAGAAACAGAAATCTGGTTAAACAAGGCAACAGAAACTCATCTCATGCATGTCACAGCTTCTACTCACTGCAACATGAACCCCAGAATACCCAAACCGCCTAAAAAATGAACAAAACACCTCTGCAAAAGCTGTAAAATGCCAAGGGCTCCAGAGTCAGCCAAGGACAAGAGGCTGAGCTGCTGCAGTGGGAGCTCTACAGCATCACCTGCAACCCAAGGACTGCTCAGACCCCAGGGAAATGTGAACCTCTCCCTCTCCCCAGGTGAGTTTAGAGCAGCCTGACACTCTGGAGCTCCCCCAGTCCTCAGCTGAGGTTAACAGCCCAGTTGCTATGGCAATATCAGGATCAAATGCTCAGCCACCCCTTAATTCCATCAGGACAGGTGGACAGTGGAGTGTTTTGTTTCTGACTGCACTCAGTTGTGCTTCTTTTAATCTATATTTAAATAAGTATTTATGATCATTTACAATGGAGGTTTATATACACACATAGCCATGTACACTCGACATGAATTTGCACACACAGAGCTCAAACTGCAGAGGGCAATATTTAAATTACACACCCACACACAGCAAACCTGATGTTCACAGAAAGCTGCTTAGGAAGCAAAAGCCATCCAGAGCTGTTGAGCACACACAGCAACACTAAAAAAAGTGCTCTGGCTTAGGGAACTTAAGTCACATTTTGTTGACTTAAATATAGCAAAGACTAGAAAAAAAATGCTACAAATTTCAGTGGAAGCTGCACGTTCCTCATTTGGAAATCCATCTTTTTTCACATGTGCAAATCCAGCCTTCAAAATTAGAGTCTCAGTTGGTTTGGTCTCTGCTCTCAGCTTAATTACACTCCAAGGAAGTTCATTTAGTGCAATGCCAACTGCTCTCCATGTTTGATGCTAAAGCCCAGGCTGTGCACAGCATGAATTCCAGTGCAATCCATAAAAGCCCTGCATCTCTGGGGCTCTCAGGTGTGCTGTTCCCAAGGCATGACAGCTTTTTTTTCAGGAGCTCAACTGCCAGAGCCACTTTTACCCTGCCTGCTTGGAAAGGCACTAATCCAGGATTAGCTTTGCATAACACCACCTCAAGTATGTTTGCACTGAAGCAGATAAATAATCCCTTTCCACATTTCTGTAGGACAAATACTTGTCAAGATGGTCTTAAAGTTCAACCATTCTGCAGGAAAGCTTTAAAAATTCTTATTTAAAACCACAGCTGATTTGAAGATGGGATACCTATCACATGGCAGGGCTGAAGGGGCTGCAAACCCTTCCTGGCTCCAGAAAAGAACCTCCCTGGTTTACCCAAGTCTAATTATACTTAAAGCATCTTAGCAGAGGGACTGGAGGATGCACATCCCCTCAGCTCAGCACCCTTGATCTGCTGTGCTGCTTGATGCCCATCAGAAGCAGAAGTCCTGCACTAATGCCTCCCCACAGGGGTTAATTGGAGTGGGAGTGTGCCCCAAATGGAGTTATCCTTCATTAACTCACTCCATATTCTCAATTCTACACCCAATCCATGAGAGCTCATCACAGGAAATTAAATTCCATCTGCTAAACAGAAATTCACTTCTGACAGATGCTGAGAAAGACACAGAGCCCATCTCTAAAAATAAATTTGCCTACTACATGGAGTACTTAGCAGCAAACATAAAAATAAACTATTTGAAAGAGCGAGGAAAACAACAGTGGGCAGTTTTTGTATCAGGATGGCTTAGATCATTTGTTAGAGCTGTGCTCACACAAGAACTGCTTTGTAGGGCTGAACAAAGAGCTCACAATACACCACTGAGCTTTAGTGCAACCCAAAACATGAAGCATAAAAAGACAATTATTGCTAGTCAAAAATGCAAATTGATCAACAAAAAAGGTTTTGGTGACTGTGACTGGCACTTCACAGCAGAAGTGAGACAAAGCAAAAGAAGCTATCAGAGAATGAGAACACAACAAAATTGGGCACTGCAGTATCTGCTCTCTGCAATCAGAGAAAAGGACAAAAGTCTCTTCTCTGGAGCTCTGGGGAGGCTGTGGAAGCACCCAAGTGTTGGGTGCTCTTATGCAAAAGGAACCCGTTTTGGACAAGGCACTTGGGTGTCTGCACTCTCAGCTGGAGGAGCAGAATGTGGACTCATGTTCTGTACTCAGGATTTTTGGAGGACTCCTTTCCAGTGTGCTGGAACAACAAGGAAGCCGATTTCATCTCTCACTGCTCTCCCAGACATTGTTTGAATCACTAATTCTTACCACTTCTTACTGAAAGAGCCCTGACTCTCATCTCCATCAGTTCCTGCTCACACAGCTCCCAGAACCAGACTTAGAGTTTGAGGCATTTTGTTGTTCCCCCCAGTCACCTCACCAACACATCATTTCCAGTTATTTCTTGCATTTAAAGCCAAATGTTCCAATCCTGCTGCTTCTTTCTCCTCAACTTTTCTGATATTCCTTCTTCTTCTNTACACCTCTGTTCTTCAGTTACAATAAGGAGAAAAAAGGATTAAAATCCAGCCTTTCCAGGTGGGTGAAGAATTGCACTAATCTAGACAGTGCTGCACATCTGTGAGAGGAGTTTTTTTTTTTCCCAGTTATCACATGCTCTTCAGAAAGAATAAGTTAACAATTCCCTGGCAAAGGAACAGCTTGGAGAGCACTTTCCCTCGAAAGCCAAAGACTGCCTGGCACAGAACACATTCAGGTGAAGGATGGGATCAGTTTGGAAGTGAAACATTACATACCCCTTCCAGCTCCTCACAGTTATTCCCTCTCCACCACTTCTCCAGGATCTGAAGGTGGTGGAAGAGCCCAACCAGGTCCTCAGCTCTGCAGCACTCGAGCCCAAAGCAATTCCTCTTGCAAAGCTGCTGCCCCTACAGAGCAAGAGAACACTGTTCATGTGACACTGCAGTGACACAGCCCCTCGCTTGGAGGTTAATGACTTTCCTGAAGATGACAGAAAACTGAAAAAGTAACTGCTCGATTTTTTTTTCCCAGTCCTTCAGCACTCCTGGGAAGCTTTCAATTAAAATAAATGAGGCCACATCTGAAAGATGTTCCAAATCTCCACAGATTTTGTTATAATGGGTTATTTTGATATGAGTGCATTTATTCCCATACTAAAAATGTTTTCCTAACTAAAATAGTTCAATTCCTCAAAGGAGAAGTAATTCAGTTAAAGACCACAGGTTTCCATTTTGTGGGTTATGCCTCTGTACACCAGACCTATTTTCCAATTCCTACCCAAATAAATCATCTTAGAATTCACAGTTTGAATTCCTATTTTTTTCCAAAAAGACTTTGGGATGCCTTTTAGGAAAGACTGTTGTAACATGAGCTTCAGGGATGCCATGCAATTTCTTCTGAGTTAACTGAAAGTTCTGTCCCTGCCATTAAAGCCACATATATTAAACTGATTTTTTGGTGTATTTTTTTCCTGGTGAAACATGAATTTTGATAACATCCAGCAGTAGAATCAGGGGCTGTAATAAAGCAGTAGAGATGCTGTACAATAAATAGATGAAAAGGTGAGACCCAGGGATAAGAGGATATGCAGAGGAGGCACAGCACAGATGAAAAGGGATGAACACAAGGACCTGACCAAGCCCAGAGTGGCAGAAAGCTCCTGAGATAACGAATTCTGCTTTTCACAGGAACAGTCTCTAAGTGGAGCCAAATCAGATTTCACACTTGGCCATCCAGTGAGGACACATTGCCCAGACAAGGTTCACAGAGGCCAATTCTGAGCTTGGGAGAAAGAAAGAAAAATATTCTTTTAATAAGCTTGAAATACCCTGAACAACTACCTGCCTCACTAATAACATCTCCTGGCCCCCTCTGGTCCAAGCAGCACCAAAACCAGCGAGGTTTGGCGGTTTTGGTGCTGTCCCATGACTGTTTGAAGTTGGTACGAAAAGCTCAGTGTTGCAACACCTTCAAGGCTGTGCCCTTCGTCCTCAGGGAGCAGCAAAGTCCACCCAGCTCACACTCGTCCACAAGGAACAGAAGTTAAAGTTCCAACCTGCAGATAACTCTGCCTCCCATCACAATACATCAGGAATTATAAGGATGGTTTTTGGTTTTAAACCCACAGTTTTTTAAGAAATAAAATCTCCCAGCATGGCACAGATCACCCTAAAGAGAGCTTTTCACCAGACACAGAGGCAGTTATGACATTCAGAACACCAAGACAACAACTTAGAAAAAAAACTTTAAGGTGGAAAGAGCGCAGTTGTTCCTTCCTCATTGCTGCCACCCACTTGAAAGCTACCAAGTCTCCTCCTACCCTTCCTCACAGCAATTACAAACCCTTGGTCTCAGCAGCTCAGCAGGACAAGAAACAAAGCTCAGGCTAATAAGAGAGCTCACCTCCCATTGCACAACTGGAAACTGGCTTTTGAAACTCTCATCTGAAAACAGGGGATGAAGCCATCGTTACAACTGTCACTTATCCCACAAGGAATAAAGGAAAGTCTATTCCATGCTGCAGAAATAATGGATTGGAAGAAGCAGGACTGACATAACACAGACTGTTTCAATGGGAAAATTAATGCATTAAGAAGAGCTGATGTATAAGGTGTGTCATAAGGTGTTACAAAGCACGAGAACCCTCCATCAAATTGAGGTGAAACAACTTCTAAAAGAGCAGAATTCCTAAGAGCAAAACAGCACCAAAATCCACTGCCCAAACACAACCATGAAAGAGTAACACCACACTTCCTCCACCTCAACCCACATTGTCACCATTAACTAAACCAGGATAGCCACTTGTTGGTAAGCACAGAGCAGAGAAAACAAGGGCAGGAGAAAACCCTGAAGAAATGCCATAGGTGCAGTTGAAAGGGGATAACCTGGATCCACAGCACTTTACAGATAAATAGCTGCTACCAAACACACTTATCACCCCTTCCCTCAGGTCACCTACATGACCTGCCAAGCGTCTGAGAGGCAAAACCGGAATAAAACGGGAACCTTGCTGCTTTATCATCTCCCGTAAACACCACATGACATTGGCAAAAGAAATAAAAGCCAGAATAAAAGGTAATTAACCCCAGCCAGCAGAAATATTCCCGTGGATTTGGGTCTTACAGCCACAAGCCCCAGGCAGTCCATGGGTATGCAGGGAGCACCCAGCCGGGAAAGCACAGCACATTTCCAGTGGAAAAGCAGACAAAGGCCACGGCTATGTGGCTCTCCGCAGGGAGAAGGACGGATTTCTCCCTGTGTCATCAGGCACCGTCCCTTGGGCCGCAGCAGGGCCGGTCTATCCCACCCTTCCCGGGGCTTTGGAAGAGCAGAGCCGCTCTCCAGCGGGGTGAGATGGCAGCGGCTCCTTTCTCGCCCTCAAGGCCGGCGAGCAGCAGCCTCACCTCCCACCCTGCTCCTCCACAGCGTTCCCGGCCACCCCCCGGCTCCCACACGGCTCCCTCAGCACCGGGAGTCCCCTCCTGCCGCCGTCACCTCAGAGCCGGAGGAGCCGTGAGGGGAGCGGGGCAACGCTGAGAGGAGATGGGCAGCGCTGAGGGGACATGGGCGACACTGAGGGGGAGACGGGCAGCGCTGAGGGGGAGATGGGCAGTGCTGAGGGGAGCGGGGCAGCGCTGAGGGAAAACGGGCAACGCTGAGGGGAGATGGGCAGCACTGAGGGGAGCGGAGCAGCGCTGAGGGGTCCCGCTGAGGGGCCGGTAACGAGACCCCCGCCCGCCAGGAGAGCCCCGAGCACGGCCCCGCACTCACCACGCTCCAGCAGCTCCGCTGGGCCCGGCACAACGCGGAACTGGGCCCGGCACAACACGCCCCGTCCCGCCCCGGGCTCCGTCACTTCCCGAGCGCCGCGGCTCCGTCACCTCCGGGCGGGCACGGCCGGGCGGGAGAGGCAGGTGAGAAAGGAGGGGGATGCTCCTTCATGGCCCTCTCATGCCCCCCCTCGAGGGCCGCGGGGTCCCGCACGCTTCGCTCCCCTCTCGGTCTTTGCCCTCCGTGTCCGCTCGGGCTCCAGCGCGGCCGGGGCTGAGGGCCCGCGGTGGAGCTGGAGGCGGCCCCGCTCCTCGGCTGAATTTGGGGGTATTGGCTTGAAACCTCCCGTATTTCAGTGTTTCTCTCCTCGTTTCTAGGTGTAATTTTGACATGAGGAAAAGCTGAGAGAATTGGGCGTGTTCAGCCTGGAGAGGAGAAGCTCCGGGGGTGGCCTAATTGTGGCCTTCGGTACGTGAAGGGAACTTAGAGGAGAGGTGGGGCAAGACTATTTACTACAGAGGCCTGGGGTGACAGGACAAGGGGGAATGGGTTCACATTGACAGAGGAGGATTGGATTGGATATTAGGAAAAATGTTTTCTCTGTGAGGGCGGTGAAGCCCTGGCACAGGGTGCCCAGAAAAGCTGTGGCTGCCCCATCCCTGGAAGTGTCCAAGGCCAGGCTTGGATAAATCTATGATAGTTGAAGGTATTCTGCCCATGGCAGAGAGTGGGACAGGTGAACTTTAAGGCCCTTTCCAACACAAACCATTCTGTGATTCTATGATAATTTGCCATTTTATCTTAGCTCTGCTTGCTGAGTCAAAGCAGTCAGAAAGCCTTGTCTGGAGAACTGTTCCATTGTGTTTCTAACAAACGTTTTGTCTTCAAATAACCAAGTGGAAACCAGATGAGAGCACACGAAATGCTCTCAGAAGCTGAGAAACGCTCAAGTAAATTCTGCCTTTCCCCTCTTTCAGAGGCAGTCTCCAAAATCCACCATGACTGTTTTCTTTGAGTCCGACTTCCTGAAAGTCATCATCGGAGTGGCATGCGGCGTGTGCCTGGGCTGGGGCATGCGGGGGAGGCTCCGCAGGAAGCCTGGGGCTGGAACAATGCCAGAGCCTTCCAACAGCCTGGGGGGCGAGGCCGACATCATGGGAGAGTCTGGGGAGCTCAAGCTGGTGCTGATCGTCCGCAACGACCTGAAGATGGGCAAGGGCAAAGTAGCAGCGCAGTGCTCCCACGCTGCTGTCTCTGCCTACAAGCAGGTTCACAAAAGGGATCCCGAGCTCCTGAAGCAGTGGGAATATTGTGGACAACCTAAAGTGGTCCTGAAAGCTCCGGATGAAGAGACTCTGGTGCAGCTCCTGGCTGAGGCGAAGCGCCTGGGGCTGACTGTGAGCTTGATACAGGATGCTGGGCGTACTCAGATAGCTCCAGGCTCCAGGACAGTCCTTGGGATCGGACCAGGACCAGCTGATGTCATAGATAAAGTTTCTGGTCACCTTAAACTCTTCTAAACTGGTACCAAAAAGACCTGGATGTGTTCATGTATGTCAGTACTGAAGGGATAAAAATGCAAGTTGGGTTTTTTTTCCGTATTTTCCCTCACGGTTAATAAAATCAGCAAGTTTTGTAAGATTTAAATTTGTAAATCGTGAGTCTCTCTAGCTTGTGTTCCAATAGGGGGAAAGAAAATTCCAGGCTGAGGGCAGTTGAGGAAAGCAGAGTTGGCACAAGAAGGAACCCAGGAAATTTCCAACTTGTGCAGTTGGTTGAGGATTTTCCACATTGGTTGGTAGTGTAAGTTTGCTCTTCATGCCTGTTTTTTGTAGTAAATACATTGTTTAATTCAGAAAGGCTCAGCTGCTGAAGCAGTTAAGAACTGGAGCTGTGGGTAACTTCCTGCCCAAACTGCTTCAACAACTTGTAATTGCTACCAGGCTGACCAGTTCAACTGGATTTGCAGCCCAGTGAACAGTTGTGGGGAGCAGCTGTAAGCTGAGCTTCCCTCTGGAAGGGTTCGTGCAGCTCCTACACGTGCAAAAATGTGCAGTTAAACCAAGTGTGGGGAGTTACCCTCCATATAAACAACTGGGCACTCAGGGACAGACTTAAATCCTGGTTATCCTGGGATTAACAGGCACTCCTGGGTTGAAGGAAGCACCCTGTTATAGATATTACTGCAGTTCAGAGCACCTTGGGGGTTCCAGAAAATTCTACTTGTACACTTCGTGAGAGTTGTGCTGTTAAGCATTTTTGCCAACCTCTCAGCCACGTTTTCCAGCTGAGAGTTGTGCAAAGTTTGTAGGAGAGAGAACAGGATTGATCTCCATCTCCAGCCATCCACACAGGGAATGGCAGAGGGGCTGGGATGCCAATAAACACACAGGATGGAAATGTTTTTATACTGCACCTCATAATCCTGTTGAGAGGCTCACTGCAGACCTGTGCTCCACCCCTGCTGACCACAGAGAGCCTGGGGCAGGTGAGGCCCTGCCAGCCCCTATTCCATGGAAGTGCTGCAGTGCCCCAGGATCACAGCACAACTGTGGAGCTCACAGGAGGAAGAGGGATCTGCATCCTAACGCCCAGTGTGGCTCCTGGTTAAGAGACAGGAGCTTCTAGAGCTGTTGGACATGTGCCCCTTGCTGTCAGACTCGTTACACTCAAATATGACAGTATTCATAGAGAAACATTTAAGTCAATTTTATTTGAAGCTAAATATGTTTAAGGCAATTTACATACCTAGAACATGATCTCAATTGAACTGGCACACCCTACTACAATCCTAATGTATCATCTGGTCGAATATGCTGGAGTTGACCACAGTGCAGCCAACTGGTGAAAAGTGCTATATTTTCTTCTCTCTGGCATAATCTTTCTCTAGAAAAAACATTACATATTTTCCTGTATTGTCCCCTCAGTGCAAGACCCCGCTACTGGTCCCCATTGCTGCTCTGCTGCTGGCCCCTCAGACCCTTGGCTGCACACACCTGCACTGCCCCACACGACCAGCACTGGAATACTTGGTTTGAGTCCACAGGTCCTTTTTTTGAAGACAGTAAAGTGAAGCTACCACTATGCAGCATGTCCACAGTCCAGTAATTTATTTTTAAATTGCGTAATTTCAAATTGCACAAACAAAACTGAACAGCAATATGCTTGAATTCTCTCTTCTGTACACTCAAAACAGTGATCTAAAACACCACAATATCCAACATACACAAACCTCAGGGCAGGGTTAGTAAATACACAGATTGGAATCATGGTGCTCTGTTCCTGAATGGAATGTCCCACAAAAGCACAGGATACAGCACAACATAAGGTCATCTGTTACATATGGAGTGAGCAAAAAGACACTAGCATTTTTCTATATGCATAACTGGAAAAACCTGCATAGGTTAAGGGAAAAAAAAAAGAAAACAAAACAAAACCCAAAACTTTTACTCATTTTAAGTCAGGCAAGGTTGTCTGTACGCATTTTAAATTCTTTTAGAGCTATGCAATCCAACCCAGGGAGGATATGCTGATTAGTGTTGTCTCTTGTCAGCAGTCTTGCAAGGTCAAATACAAGTATCTTGGCTTTAGCTTTCTCCAAATATACAGTGAGATTTAAATGCATTTAGAATAGACAGTACATACCGTAAGCTGCTCACATACAATGAACTTAAGATTCAATATTAGAGTGTAACACTATAGAGTGCAAATCAGAATCTTCACAATAGACTTAATGGTAATAAGCAGTCCTGCAAAAGCCCACTTGAACAAAGTCGTTTAAACTATTCCCCTTCTCAAAGTAAAAGTCTAAATGACATGGAATGTGAAAAAAAGATTTAACAGAAGTGATTCAAATCGTTTGCGCTAGAAAAAACAGTCCTTCATGAAATAAAGGTTACAAGAACACGAGGCAGAACTCTTTGCTTTTCCCTGTTATGAGTTAAAGCGGGGAGGGACGGTGGAGTTTCAGTAAGAAAAGTTGCTGCTCCAGGCTGACTTGTGCTGCATCTCACATGCTGTAGCCGAAGCCGGGCTGTGGCTGCCCGTACGGAGGGGCCGTGTAGCCGTAGCCGAAAGGTGCCTGTGGAGGAACTGCCACGCTGGGTCCTGCTGTCAGCATCAGCTGGGGCTGGCCTGCAACACACAACGGGCATCTTACTCCTCCTCAACTGGGAAATCACTCAGCAAAATGCCTGAAATTCAGGACGTCTTGCTGTGTTTCACCACTAAGTCCCTGCTGACCTGGACCGGGCTTTTTCAGGGCCAGAGCGGGTGTTTTCCCATAAAATCTCAGGACACAACACATGGCTAAAAATACTCAAGTATATGAAGAAACTCTTACTAGAATACCCCGAATATAAAGAAAATACCCAGTATAAAGTAGGTATAAATATTCTTTAGATATAAAGCATATTGCACTTGCTGGAAGTCAGGAATAGCACAGCTCCTGTAGACCTTTCCTTAAGGAGCCAGGACAATTTAAATTCTGCAGTCCACAGCCCACCTCAGCAGCCAGACTGGCACTTATCTAGCATTTTGGAACACATTCCTTAAGATTTCATTTCCCATTTCCCAGGATTTCCTCAGGAAAAAAAAAAACAAGATTAGGGAAGGCTTGTTTTAAAAGCGAAATATGTAATTGATAACACACAAACTAAAGCATTACCATAAACAATAGGTTGTGTTTCTGTAGCTTGCTCCTCTTCCTTTCTCAAAGATTCTGATGCATCCAGTTTATCCACCTGGAATTGAGACCAACAATTAAAGAAATCTCCTCCAAAACAGGTACTTATTCGTGGCAGAGAAGTGGAAAAGCCTTAGTGGTATGTCAACACCCATCAAGAAAAGGAGACCATTTACAAGTTAAGATCAATTCAAGTAGCAATGTTGGTACTGGTGCAGTCAAGATTGTCTGTTTCCTGAAAAAAACCCTCATGGAGGGATTTTCAACTGCTTTGAAAGCTCACTCCAGGCTGAAGCTTTGTACAAAAGGTTCTGTACTGGACTGGAGCTGGACAGTCTTTGGACACAGATTTGAGCTCAGTCTCAATTGGAGACCTCTGGCATTGGAGCCATTGCCGAGATAATGCCCAGACCTGGAGAAGTTTCCCTGGAGGTGACATTGAGGCAAAGTAATCTGGTTTGTATTTGGATAGAGCAGACTGCAATAGCATCCGACATGTCACTTGAGCCTCAAGATTTCACTTTCCAAACCCATTCACTCATGCAATTTAAGTTCAAATGCAGAGAATGCATGTGTATAAGACTTGCTTTTTCCACTCCAGAACTGTGTGGCAGTCAGCCTAAACCCACAGATACTCCAATTCTTCCAGCTTTACACACAGTAACAGACAAGCCTGGCCAGCTTCACTGCTGCACTGCGAGTGCAATGGTGCTGTTTGCCCACCCCTACAGAAAGGCAAGAGAAGGAACTTCTTCTGTAGTGAAATACTGCTCATTTCTAAGACAGATCCAAGGGAACTCAGCATTTCTACAGTCTAAGGCAGGCCCTGAAACTAAAACCACAAAATGAGGTATTGGTATTTTACCTGAGAGATAAGATTTAGAACAAAGTCAGAGATAATCATGCCAATTACTTTTGAAAGACAGTAATACAACTCACAAAATTAACATTTCATTTCATTCGTGTCCTAAATAAAGGAGTTAGAAGGTTTCCTGCACTTACACAGGGTCAGTGTTATTTATTCAGCTACAACATTCCCAAGTGAGTTTTGGGTTTAATTGTGCTACATGAGCAAATATCAGTTGGCAGCTCCAAGAGCTGTGAGCTCCTCCTTTCAGCTGTGAGTTACAACGTGTGTTCCATAAACCTGTTCCTCTGTAACCTCAAGCTGAGGCACAACTCCAGGGAGTGGCAGAAGTCCTGAGCTCGAGTTCCCTCAGTGGCTGGGCTTCCATGGCCAGCCTGGTGCTTGCCTCCCACAGTCTGGCTTGCTGCTGCCAAAGTGCACGGGATCACATCCAATGCTCCAAGACTCATTTCCACACACTGTGCTGGGAACTGCACTGTTTTTAACTCAGAACAGCAACACACTGAACACAGAAGCACAAGTTTAGAGATGCAAACCCAAGGAGAATGTGCAGAGTTTGCTACTAAGCAGGGGCATTTGGCTTACTCACACTTGGAAAGCCTCCAGCCCAGAACATTCAATGCATTTTGGACCCAGTTTTGATGCCTCCCTTCAGAGCTCAACAAATATTGACAAGAACAAGCTCAAGTTTGAAGCCAGCCCGAAGGATGGTTCTTACACCACTTGCTTGAGCATCACCAGCTTCAGGGCCCTACACACTTGGAGCAAGATTGACTGAAAGGCTTTTCCACAGGGACTGCAATAAGCTGCAGAGGAAAAGTAACATGCATTCAATGTTATCGTGTTATGTGTGCATGAAAAAGAGGCAAAAGTACTGAAGCACGAGTGAGGTCTGAAGATGACTGCCATACAGGCTCCCCCCAAAAAACCACACGCAGCCCACAGCAATGCCTTGGAGCTTCAGGAGTAGTGGGATGTAATTGCAATGACTGCTACACATGCGTCGTTTATGCAAACACTGCAGTTCAATTTCCTTTTTTCACACACACGCTCTCCTACTTTCCTTACTAGCTGCTGAAGGACCTTACACTACGTGTCTTAGG